TTCTCCACGACCGGACTCCTCTTCATCAAAGAACTCCGAGGACGGCGCTGTGTCTGGGATTTCAGCTGATAAGTTTACGTTTGTTAACATTATTGCAGCTTAATACATGCATCGCGGTGAATTAAACTAGGATCCATGTAACACTAACTTTAAGATATTAGTGTGTAGCTTTAGTTTATCAACGAAGCTAGCTAAACTCAGAAGCTAACTAAATATTGACAGTAACAGATGAAGCTTAGCTTGTAATAATGTGCTCATCCATCCGGTCAGCTGCTTAAACAGTTCACTGTTTGTTTATGTTCTCCTCACAGGAGCCTCTGACCCTGAGGAGGACAGAGACTTGACAAAAGAAAAGTGAGGTGGGGGGCCACAGGACAATCACAAACTTTGTTGTTAAAAGTTTGCTGCCTTTTTCTACAGTGGAGGCTCCATGGTGGAGGTAAGTTAAGCTGTAAAGGATATTGTTGACCAGTTAAGATTTTATCTCTCAGCCTAGATAAAGTTTTGTGAGCAATAATAACACAACCATATTATTGTTGATGTTTTGTGTTTTAATGTCAATTAGGGAGATGATAAGAGCCCTAAACCCCAGAGAACCACAGAGAAAAATCAGGAAGAGACACAGAGGCACAGTTGTCTGCATCAACCCTAACCTCAGTGAATCCAGTGACCTGCTGGTGGAATGTGAGGGACAATATGCCAGTGCTATCAAACTAACAACCAGGTATCTGTGTGTGCAACAAGCATCATCCACACCCTCAGAGTGAACATTTTCTACTGCTGTAGACACCATCAGCCAGGAGCGGGCTTGTTTGTGTCCAGAGAAAGCAGACATGTTGTTTTTTTCTGAAGATAAACTGCTAAGTGAAAAGGTCCTCGGTGTGTAGCAGTGAACATTAGACACTGACATGTCACTGGTTTGAAACTGGTCTTTTGACCTGTAAATTATTTTATTTTTATGTAAGAAACTGCTTGGAATAGAAATACTAGTTAAAAAATAAAACTCACGATTTGTACTGTAATGTGTAACGTAAATTTATTCTTGTTAGAATTAATATTAATTACAAAATTGGTACCGAAAAAAGAACCATCCAGGTACCGACACCGGTACCGATACCAATTTTTTTTAGAAAGGTACCCAGCCCTAGTTTGGTTGTATCCAATCTCTGTGAAACAACGTCGACACAGCTTTGGATTTGTTCACTTGTCTTTTAACAAGAAAGCCATAATGTTCCCAAACAGGAGACTGCAACGAAATGCTAGACTGCTAATGCTATGCGTGCTGTAAGACTATAGTGCCGTGCTGAAACACACTTAGGAACTTTAGTTCCGTGGTGCATAATTTCTTGTTAATAAAATTTAATGAGTGAAAAAATGACCTAAACGGTGTGCACGTGGACCGAACCGAACATGTTGTACCGAAACGGTTCGATACACCCACGTGTACCGTTACACCCCTATGCACCAGCCTGTAGGGGTGCACCGATTGCAGTTTTCTGGCCAATCACTGATTTCTCAAAAGTCTGACCTGCCAATTCAGATTTTGTCCGATACTGATTTTGCTTTTTAAGCGACACTGTCAGGTGTTATAAGGTCACAACGCACCTTCAATTTTCCAATATTATTTTATTGAAAAAACATACCCTTGAACAATATCCTAGAAACAATACAAACTTGTTTTAACTGGCCATGAACTTGTGCTCTGAAATATAAATGAAGTTCAGACAATTGTTGTTAAAACACAATAAAATTGGTAAAATCGGTTTCTCATGCAAGTATCGGGCCGATTTTCGATTTCCCCAAATTAAGGAAATTGGGGCCGATAAATCAGCCGGCCGATTTATCAGTGCACCCCTACCAGCCTGATTAAACACTTGAAACGTTTTTGTTAAAAGAAAAGGTTAAATCATAAGAACAAAAGACATTTAAACAGTATGTTCTGAGTTGATGGGGTGTTAAAGCCACAGCTTAAAGTGTTATTAAAGGAAAGAACTGGGACTAAGCACTCTTTGGCTCAGGTTTAGCACTGGAACCTGTTTGGAGGAGAAAAAACAACTCTGTGATCTGAGCAGTAAAACAAATCATGTATGTGTGAATATAAAGCTACAGTTCTCCTTAAGGGTGTGAATCTCTGAGTCTGGCGATTCAATTCAGATTTTTGGTGTCACAATTTGATACAAAATCGATTTTTCGATTCAGAAACAATTTTTCTATTGAAATTGTCATAAATTTAGTTTCAATTATGTAACTGACAAGGAAAAGATTAAACAACAATGTAAACAAATAGAACATTTATTTAAACCAATTTTAGGTTCTTTACTATATCAAATATTTTTGCATAATTTTATCAGAATAAACTTTATTGGAATTGCACCGAGGTACAACGCAAATATGTACGTACAGTCGTCCGAAAGATGGGCGGAGTGCACGAAGCTGCAACTACAGGGAGAGCGCGGCCTTCTTATCCTTATCAGATAATAATCTTAGATAGGAAAAGGGGGAGAAACATGAGGGTAGATAGTGGTATTACCAAAAAAGATCTTTCACATCTTGTCTATCAGGACACGATTTGAGACATCAAAAAAACTCTACCAGCAAGCACAATTAAAACATGATTACAATTGCATTTGACATCGAGGTGTTGAGATTTGTCCATGAGCGTTTTTTCAGGTCAGCCACAGTTTCTGAAGATGATGTTCCAGCCAGCAGTTCTAAACAAATTGTGAATAAAAACTGAATGGAATGATGTGGAGATGGCAAATGTCAATATGTTATTCGTAATATCACATAGATGACAGATCAAAAGTTTAATCTGAGTAAATGTAACATTTTAAAGGAAAAATATGTTGATTCAAAATTTCACAGTGTCAACAAATCCCAAAAAAGTTGGGACAAGTAGCAATAAGTGGCTGGAAAAAGGAAATTGATCATATAACAAACAGCTGGAAGACCAATTAACACTAATTGGGTCAATTGACAACATGATTGGGTATAAAAAGAACTTCTCAGAGTCAGTCTCTCTCAGAAGCCAAGATGGTAAGAGAATCACCAATTCCACAATTGTTGCACAGAAAGACAGTGCAGCAATACCAGAATGGTGTTACCCAGCGTAAAATAGCAGACTTTTAAGTTATCATCATCAACCGTGCATAACATCATCAAAAGATTCAGAGAATCTGGAACAATCGCTGTGCGTAAGAGTCAAGGCCGTCAAACTCTATTGGATGTTCGTGATCTCCGGGCCCTTAAACGTCACTGCAGCTCAAACAGGAATGCCACTGTCAAGAAAATAACAGAATGGGCTCAGGAATACTTCCAGAAAGCATTGCCAGTGAACACAATCCACCGTGCCATCCGCCGTTGCCAGCTGAAACTCTACAGTGCAAAGAGGAAGCCATTTCTAAACAAGCTCCACAAGCTCAGACGTTTGCACTGGGTCAGGGGTCATTTAAAATGGAGTGTGGCAAAATGGAAGACTGTTCTGTGGTCAGATGATTTACGATTTGAAGTTCTTTATGGAACACTGGGACGCCATGTCAACCGGACCAGAGAGGACAAGGATAGCCCAAGTTGTTATCAACGCTCCGTTCAGAAGCCTGCATCACTGATGGTATGGGGTTGCATGAGCGCTTGTGGCATGGGCAGCTTGCATGTCTGGAAAGGCACGATTAATGCAGAGAACTATGTTCAGGTTCTAGAACAACATATGCTCCCATCTAGACGTAATCTCTTTCAGGGAAGACCCTGCATTTTTCAACACGATAATGCCAGACCACATTCTGCAGCAATCACAACATCATGGCTACGTAGGAGAAGGATCCGGGTACTGAAATGGCCAGCCTGCAGTCCAGATCTTTCACCTATAGAGAACATTTGGCGCATCATAAAGAGGAAGGTGTGACAAAGAAGGCCCAAGACGATTGAACAGTTAGAGGCCTGTATTAGACATTAATGGGAGAGCATTCCTATTTCTAAACTTGAGAAACTGGTCTCCTCTGTCCCCAGACGTCTGCTGAGTGTTGTAAGAAGAAGGGGGGGATGCCACACAGTGGTAAATATGGACTTGTCCCAACTTTTTTGGGATTTGTTGACGCCATGAAATTTGGAAACAACAGATTTTTCCCTTAAAATGATACATTCTCACAGTTTAAACTTTTGATCTGTGATTTGTGTTATAAATAAATTGTATCATTTAGAAATAGCTCCAGGTGATGCGTCTTGTCTGGCTCCTTCAACCTGTTAAAAAGACAAATTACATTTAGTTTGTTGTACAACTTGTCTGTATAAGTTTAAGTATATTATGAAAAATAACACTTACCTTTGAGCTGAAGCTGCATCAGAGCTTCTCCCATCAGTTGTTTCATGGTGAAGTTGCGGTGCTGCTTATCGCAAAAAAATAAAAAAAACTACTTGGAGTCCAGCATATTAAAAATAAAAATAAACCCCTCGCCTTCCACTGTGTGCTCGTAAATCCTTTGTGAAATAGCAGGAGATGGAGAGGTAAATCTTTGCAGCCTTTGAGGAGTCAGCTAGAAGTTTGTTGCAGAGCTCCACGGTCGGCTGCTTTTGCTTTCATCTTCCGCGCATTTTGTCGTATTTTCAAATACTGTACCGCAATTTAATTTTACACTTCTTGCAAACAACCATGCTCTTGTTAAGCTCTGTCTTCCCCCGGAACATTGTAGGATCTGAAATGATTTTTAAACAAAGAAGCAAATTGAATCGTGCTGTCCCCCTCCATGCTACCAGGCGCTATTGAGATAAAGGGAGCTAGCTAACTGGCTTGCTGTATGGTGGCCTACATGGCCCAATTCTACAGCGGCCGAGCGGGGAGTAAGAGTGGAAAAAATATAAAACTTAAACACATTTTAAAATTGATTTATGGACCTTTAGAATCTTTTCAGAATTGCCAGTACTAAGAATCTAGATTCTTTAAAAAAAAAAACAGATTTTTTTTCTGCACCCCTAGTTTTCCTTACTGTATTTTACATGTGTTCCAGTGGTTCCTGCAGATGTTCAGAAGTCAGTGCTGATTAAAGAAGAAGCTCCTGAAGAACAGTGGCCTGATGTGGACCAGCAGGATGCAAATTGCCTCCACATAAAAGAGGAAGAGGAGGAACAGTGGACCATTTTGGGGGGAGGGCAGCTCAGTATGAAGGAGGAGACGGATGTCACGAGCTTTTCATTAACTGCAGTTCCTTTTAAGAGTGAGGATGATGAAGAGAAACCTCTGTTCTCACAGCTTCATCAACACCAAGATGAAGTCTGTGATCTTCCAACCAGCAGCTCAGGTGACCACAAAGAATCAGCAACTGGTGAAGGAGAAAAAGATTAAAAAAACCCAGATCTAAATACTTATAGAGATTCTGATTCTTCAGAAACTGAAGTTAGTGAAGATGATGAAGAGGATAATGATGTGAATAATCCTGAGTCTCAGCTGAAACTTTTTTCAGACTTTGGGTTAAAAACTGAACACACTGATGAAGACTGGGAGTCTTCACCCAGCAGGGTCTCTGAGTCAAGTGTGAACAAGGTCCACAACAAAAATGGACTGAAGCCATTTGGTTGTGATGTTTGTGGGCGAAGGTTCAATCATAAGATACATTTAAACAGACACAAGAATATCCACACAGGACAGAAACCATTTTCTTGTGATTTGTGTGGAAAAAGGTTTAGCGTAAAGGGCAATTTAACCAGGCACATGATGATCCACACAGGACAGAAGCCATTTTCTTGTGATCTGTGTGAAAAAAGGTTTAATCAAAAGGTTGGTTTGAAAAACCACATGATAATCCACATGGGACAGAAGCCCTTTGGTTGTGATGTTTGTGGGCAAAGAGTCATTCGTAAGATACATTTAACCAGACACATGATGATCCACACAGGACAGAAGCCCTTTTGTTGTGATCTATGTGAAAAAAGGTTTACTGTAAAGAGTGGTTTGAAAAAACACATGATAATCCACACAGGACAGAAGCCCTTTTCTTGTGGTCTGTGTGAAAAACGATTTACTGAAAAGGGTAGTTTAAAAAAACACATGATTATCCACACGGGACAGAAGCCCTTTTCTTGTGATCTGTGTGAAAAAAAGTTTTCTGAAAAGGGTAGTTTAAAAAAACACATGATAATCCACACGGGACAGAAGCCGTTTTGTTGTGATCTGTGTGGAAAATGTTTTACTGGAAAGGGTGGTTTAAAGAGACACGTGATAATCCACACAGGACAGAAGCCCTTCTCTTGTGATCTGTGTGAAAAAAGGTTTACTGATAAGACCAGTTTGAAAAAACATATGAAAATCCACACTGGACAGAAACCATTTTGTTGTGATCTTTGTGGCCGACGGTTTACAAGAAAGGGCTGTTTAAAGACACACATGATAATCCACACTGGACAGAAGCCCTTTTCTTGTGATCATTGTAGTCAAAAGTTTTCCAAAAAGGACTATTTAAGAAGACATATGATTATCCACACAGGACAGAAGCCCTTTTCTTGTGATCAGT